TTGTATTTAGAATTTTTTCATCATTATCCACCTGTCATAATTCAGCCCTTGCCAATCATTAGTCTTCATATAAGCCTCATTATCTGCTACAAGTGACTCATTATTGCTAATTTATCCCCTCTTCTTCATTTGTCTTTTTTGCTATTGTTTGTCTCTTTTTACAAAATTGTCCCAGTGGGCTTTCACTGAGAACTCATTACATTGACACACATCATTTGTCCCTCATTACGCACATTTATTTTGATGAATGTTTGATTCTCATGATTTTGTTTTATCCATGTTATTATGTCATATAGACAACATATTATTTGAGAATGTAAGATGATTTACTGAATGCATATGATTTGTGCATCCTTTTGGAGTTTATTGGTGTTCAGCTCATTTATGTGGAATCTGAAATTCTAAATGAAAATGTAAGCAGCCACTTTGTATAAATGCTTGCAGGCAAAGTCCAGGGCATTTATTCAGGGACTTCCATCTTGGGCAGTTTGGTGTGGGGTGGGCAGCTTTAACGGGAGTCTTTTTTGCTGTCATGTCCCTGAGGACTTGTTGTCAAACTCACAGCCCAGTCTCACGGGTTATACAAGAATAGCTTTCTCAATATAATCTACAGACTTCCCTATCATAAATAAATATAGGAATGCGCAAAATAAATATCAAACAATCAAAACTAAACAAAAAAAAAAGTCACATAATAAAGCATAATGTCCACATAATCTGCGTAAAGTCCAAACACCATGCAATAAAAATACATTCCGAAGTACTGTGTTCAAACAATAACACCGTGATTAAATCCACTACCAAATTAAATGAATAAACTCACCAGAGCTAAATGCTGATCAAATTATAAATCAGCATAAGCGCTATTGCTCTGGGAACGATGATCTGTAGAATATTCCAAGGTCTGGGAGCAATATTCTGCAGCAAGCCAATCAGCACAGATAAAAAACCCTTCAATCATAGGGTCATCGTCTCTCCATAGAATGTGGCAAAACTCGGGGATTTACGAAAGGACATGATGGTGCAGTACATTTAAAAACCATATACTTTATTAAAGCAGGATGTACACTCACAAGAATGGTGTCCCAGCAGACACCAGCATTAACAGCCTTCAAAATGAAAGGGACGAGCCCCATTCACCGCGGATCAAACAGTCAAACAGCCGTCCGTCTCGGGGAACGTCCTGACGTCACATCCATTGGCAGGGCTTAATGGATGTGACGTCAGGACATTCTCCGAGACTGGCGGCTGTTTGATCCGCGGTGAGTGGGGCTCGTCCCTTTCATTTTGAAGGCTGTTACTGCTGGTGTCTGCTGGGACACCATTATTGTGAGTGTATTGCTAGAGAGGGTTTTTCTTTTCTTGGGAGAGTGCATGTGATCAGCAGAGGGCCAATCAGCACTGTCCAGACAGAGGGTCAAAGGTTCTGCATCCTCCTAGAGCAGAAAGAAAACTCCTCCTACATGCTTTAACCAGTGCTCTGCTGAAGTCACAAGACTGCTCTAACTGCTGATGAGAAAACGTCTTTAGCAGTTTATATTTACTAAACAATTGCATTTCCATGTAGTGTGTACTCTGGGAGACCAGATAGAGAGAATGCAGGGACCTTGGTTTAGTAACACTTTAGGGAGAAGGAGCATACTTTGCATTCTTTACCTTGGGTCCTAAAGGACCTGGTCCCACATTACTATCTTATCACATAAGTGGATATACTGTATGCATCAAAGCATTGTCTCCCAATTGTTCCCCAAATGTGGGACACGTACCACTAGTGATGTTCTTTTTCACTGCAGGTGGAACACTGCAGGGTGTTTGATATTTGTGCGCAACTGAATTATTGGACTACATAATTACTATAGCATGAGCTGCTTGTGGCAGATATCATGGGAATTTATAATGACATTTATTGAAATATAGTATTTATGGGCTTCTGTTGGTTTCCACAGAAGAATGTCTACACCAGTTGCTTGAATTGTAGGAACATGGGATTGAATAGTACAGTTGGAATTCAGACAGAGAAAAGGTTTGGATGGTGGTACATAACTAAGCAATGCTGGCAAATTATGTTGAAAAACACATTTCTTGAATCATCACCTTTATATAGAATCTTCTGAAACCTTTAGAAACAGCTTTTGCATAATTTTAAATTATTAATTTTTCTTCAAATATGATCTCAGTTATATTTAAAGAACAACCTCAGACAACTGACTTAAAGTTTACTTTGTTTTACATTTGAGTTACAACCCTTTTTTGGTGGGAGTTATGAGAAATGGCCCTCCCAAAACAGGATATTGTGTTAAACCTGTAGGTAAATAGGAGAACCAGAACCTTTGCAAAGTGAGAGTGGGTTTGATAATAAAGTTGGCAGTGCCTCCACCCTGGACAGGGCCTCTGTGAGCAGAGGGGATTCCCTTCCTGGGAAATTAACTAATAATCTAAACAAAGTAATTGGGAGTAGAAAGGACTTCTGCAACCAGCATATACCACTAACCATACACATATAGATACACAGCACAGCACACCAGTAAAGAATACAAACAATCTTTATATAAGAAGATATACTAGAACATACATCCAATGTACAAACATATATTAACTGGGTATATACAACATATATAGTTATTAGCAAAGACACCTCCAGATGAATGTTGCAGCAAAGTCCAGTTGCAGGGGCCTGTGAAAATTATGTAGTGTCTTTGTGTCAGAAATCTGAAGATGAGATCAGCAGTCACGGTGGGATCCTACAACTGTTGTCCAACCAGCTTATAAGGGAGCCTCTCACCGGCAGGAACTGTGGTATAGCACTGACACTCAAAGTCAGCCTATCTACTCTGCGCTTTGGTCCCTCCCTAATAATTTCAAAACTAGCATGCAACTGGACCTCCAAGCCTATGATCCCAACATGGCCATGAAAACCTAACCTGACTCTAACCTATGCTGGCTATTGAGTATTAGGCTGAAACCAGCTATAGAACAGAAGTTGCATATAAACTATTGCAATGACCAGGTTCATCTACTAACATACTGTACATGTACATACAGTACCACTATCTGGCACTGGGCATATGAGATAATAGCAATAAGACGGAAATAAGTCTGTCTCAGGGATTCAGAAATACAGTCTAGAAGCTATGGACAAGGACAGGTAAACTATTAGAATATAGGAATATTTGCATAAAGGTCTTTGCGTCTGATCTGGGTGAAAATACAGCAGCAGTAGCAGCCCCTGTGCATAAGACCATGTGGCTCAGTTCTCTGTCTCTCTCTTCACTTCATCTCCCTGAAATAGGAAGTGTTAAAGTGGTTGTAAACCATTCCATTTACCCAGTGAAGTGACTGGCCTCAGATGAGACACAGAGATGTGACAAATCCTCCTACACAAGTTACTGTTTTCTATTTGCAGTCGTTTCTTCTGTATATCCTTCTGAGAACACAAATAGGAAAAAGATTTCTTCTAATGTCACACAGCCAATAACTCTGAGCCCTGGCCAGGGGTGTATTTGCATTGAGGCAAACAAGGCGTTTGTCTAGGGCGGCACCTTTCAAGGGGGGTGACGTGGCGCTGCCCCTCCCTTCCTGCAGAAGTGACACTTAAGACAGGATCCATTATGTAGGCTTACATGTGTTCCCAATTTGATCTGATCCGCGAAGGTGAGATGCTGCTGGAGGAGGGGCAGAGAGGGTGTCTGGTATCCTACTCTCATTCCTGGGTGGATCACAGGCAGATGCCACGATGTGGTTGGGAATTTTCCTTCTCCTGGATCTTCCATCTGATTTGCTTGCCAGCTTAGCCCAGTCCAGCCCAGTTACATGCCAACCCTGCCCCTCTTATCTGGCCACACCCTGGGATCACTGGGCAGCCCATGGCAGCCTGTCCCTCCCTCTGCAAGCTCCTCCTCCTGGACGGTGATTGGCCGCCGGATCTGTAGGCCAGGGCAAATACACAGGCAGAGAGGAAGAGCTGAGCAACAGCATGAGGAAGACAGCTGATTGGTGTGCAGTGAGGGAGTGGCCAGAGCAAGTGGAGAGGAGGAGAGCGGTCAGACTCAGAAGACAACTGATTAGTGTGGCTGCTAGGGAGCGGCCAGAGCCAGTGGAGAGGAGGGGAGCGGTCAGACTCGGAAGACAGCTGATTAGTGTGGCTGCTAGGGAGCGGCCAGAGCCAGTGGAGAGGAGGAGAGTGGCTGGACAAGGAAGTCAGCTGATTGGTGAGGGTTTGTGCCATGCAGCCGGGATCCAGGGAGAAAAGAGCAGAGGGTGCTGCTGCAGGCATGTTGGCTGTGGATGGGAGAGGGAGGGAGCCCGGCCTGGAGGAGGGGTCATCAATATAAACATGGCCTTATTGTAAGTTGGTGATCTGGTCAGTGCAAACATATACCCATTTACATTGCTGGCCACTCACTTCAAATATAGCTCAGGCTCAGTCATGCATTTGTGGTCAGTGAAAAATTTGTGCTACTAACAAACTGGAGCTGGGAGGATTGGAATACTGTCCCATCATTGTTGTCAGTGTGGAAGGAATAGTGCCCAATCATTGGTGTCAGTGATGGGGGGACTAGTGCCCCATCATTGGTGTCAGTGTGGGAGGAATAGTGCCCCATCACTGGTGTCAATGTGGAAGGAATAGTGCCCCATCACTGGTGTCAGTGTGGGAGGAATAGTGCCCCATCATTGGTGTCAGTGTGGGAGGAATCATGCCCCATCATTGTTGTCAGTGTGGAAGGAATAGTGCCCCATCATTGTTGTCAGTGTGGAAGAAATAGTGCCCCATCATTGGTGTCAGTGTGGGAGGAATAGTGCCCCTTCATTGGTGTCAGTGTGGGAGGAATAGTGCCCCTTCATTGGTGTCAGTGTGGGAGGAATAGTGCCCCTTCATTGGTGTCAGTGTGGGAGGAATAGTGCCCCATCATTGGTGTCAGTGTGGGAGGAATAGTGCCCCATCATTGGTGTCAGTGTGGGAGGAATAGTGCCCCATCATTGTTGTCAGTGGGAGGAATAGTGCCCCATCATTGTTGTCAGTGGGAGGAATAGTGGCCCATCATTGGTGTCAGTGTGGGAGGAATAGTGCCCCATCAGTGGTGTCAGTGTGGGAGGAATAGTGCCCCTTCATTGGTGTCAGTGTGGGAGGAATAGTGCCCCATCATTGGTGTCAGTGTGGGAGGAATAGTGCCCCATCATTGGTGTCAGTGGGAGGAATAGTGCCCCATCATTGTTGTCAGTGGGAGGAATAGTGGCCCATCATTGGTGTCAGTGTGGGAGGAATAGTGCCCCATCATTGGTGTCAGTGTGGGAGGAATAGTGCCCCATCATTGGTGTCAGTGTGGGAGGAATAGTGCCCCATCATTGGTGTCAGTGGAATGAATAGTGCCCCATCATTGGTGTCAGTGTGGGAGGAATAGTGCCCCATCATTGTTGTCAGTGGGAGGAATTGTTGTCAGGGGCTGACTGGCCATTTGAAAACTCGGGCACTGCCCGAGGGCTCCGGGGTCAGTAGGGGTCTCCATGAGATGCCCCTGGTACCTTTTTCATAGGCATTTTTGAGTTTGTGCAAGAACACAGGGGCCCCATGATCCCCTATTGCCTGGGGGCCCCATGAGATGTCAGTCAGGCCCTGCCCCATCGTTGTTAGTGTGGAAGGAATAGTGCCCCATCATCGTGTCAGTGTGGGAGGAATAGTGCCCCATCATCGGTGTCAGTGTGGGAGGAATAGTGCCCCATCATCGGTGTCAGTGTGGGAGGAATAGTGCCCCATCATTGGTGTCAGTGTGGGAGGAATAGTGCCCCATCATTGGTGTCAGTGTGGGAGGAATAGTGCCCCATCATTGTTGTCAGTGTGGGAGGAATAGTGCCCCATCATTGTTGTCAATGTCTGAACAAAATGTATGCACTCGTTATCCACTTTTAATGTACAGAGAAGAAGAAGTGGAGCTTTAATAAGAAGAGGTGGAGTCTAAAGAGGAAAGGGTGGTGTTTACAGATAGCGGGGTGGATCTTAAACAGGAAGGGGTGGGACAAATTTAGATGGGGGCATGCTCGAATTTAGTCTTGCCCAGGGCAGCACAAAACCAAAATACACCACTGGCCCTGACTGGAGGGAAGGGACACCCCCTCCCCCCTTCACACAGTTAAGAGTACAAGCAAAGCTGTGGATATGAGTCACAGGCTGTGTGATGCAGCTCCCTCTCTCATCACCTTTTTAACTCTTGGTGTCTAGAAAAGCTGCATGAGTCATTCTGATAGCAGAGGAACCAGGCAGCAGAGAAAAATAAAACTCAGAGCTTTGGAGAGAGGCGACACTGTTTTTATTTATTTATTGTTATTTCAGGTACTTATATAATGCCATCAATTTATACAGCACTTTAAATATATTGTACATTCACATCAGTCCCTAACCCTCAAGGAGTATACAGTCTATAGTCCCTAACTTACATTCATACATACACATACTAGGACCAATTTAGACAGGATCCAATTAACCTACCAGCATGTCTTTGGAGTTTTTAAGAACTGTCATCCCGGCACAGCTGTCAGACGGTGGGAGCCAGGGTCGAGAGCGGAGCAGTTTTTTTTTTCTTTTTTCAGTTTGGCGGTGGTGGCAGGCATCATGATTGACATTGGATCTACTTCAGGGACATTTTTTTTATTTTTGTGTTTAACCGTTTCAATACCGTGCAATTTTACACCTTCCTGCCCAGGCCATTTTTCAGGTTTCAGCGCTCTCACACTTTGAATGACAATTGCGCGGTCATACAACACTGTACCCAAACTAAAATTTTATCATTTTCTTCACACAACTAGAGCTTTCTTTTGGTGGTATTTAATCACCGCTGGGGTTTTTATTTTTTGCTAAATTAACAAAAAAAGACCAAAAATTTTGAAAAAAAAAAAAAACCACATTTTTCTTTGTTTCTGTTATAAAAGTTTACAAATAAATATATTTTCTTCATAAATTTAGGCCGAGATGTATTCTACTACATGTCTTTGGTGAAAATAACCCAAATTAGGATGTATTTTTTAGTTTGTAGGAAAGTTATAGAGTTCACAAACTATGGTATAGATCTGAATATTGATCAATCCTGAAGTACTGACAGCCAATCTAATTTCTTCAGGTCCAAGAATGTCAGAACAGTACAGATATCCCCCAAATGACCCCTTTTTGCAGAGTAGACAGTCCGACGTACTTCATAAGAGGCATGGCGAGTTTTTTTGAAGTTGTATTTTTATGTCATAATTTTTCGGAAAATGAAAAAATTAAAAAAATTATTTTCACAATTTTTTTTTTTTTTACATACTGTCACCAGTGCAGTACAGCATCATCATATAACTGGCATGGCGGTTAACAGGGACACTGTTAATTTATGTAGAGAAATGGGGAAAAGATATGGGTAATATATATATATATATATATATATATATATATATATATATATATATATAACAGCAGAGGAAAATGCTTAGATTAATTCACGAAAATATTAGTATGAGAGAAGTAGAATTAAATTATAAGTGTTTAGTTAGATGGCACATTGCACCGAGTGTGGAGCACAAGATGAATGAGGAGAACTCTCCACTATGTTGGAGAGGCTGTGGAGAAGTGGGTACACTATATCACATTTGGTGGGAATGTTCAAAGATACAGGTGTTCTGGGGGAAAATCGTCCATTTAATGAGGAAAATTACTGAGATCGATATTAGATTGGACCCAGAGTTATGTCTCCTTCATATCTCCGAGCTTACAGTGAGATCATATAAGGACTCAGGGATTTGGTACTTTCTGAATGCAGCCAAAGGCTTGATTCCTAAGGTTTGGAAAAAAAGGGCGGTTCCGACGGAAGTAGATTGGTTGATCAGAATGAATCAGTTATGTGAGATGGAAAAACTTTATTATACACACATAGACGGGATGGAGATGTACCATAAAAAGTGGGGAAAATGGGAAGAATTTAGACAAGAAAGTGAAATATAGTTGATTTACACCTCTTGACGAACAATGATTTTTAGAAATGAGTTTTAGAAAGAAAAAGGATAGTGTTATATATTTATTTATTTATGCGTTCTCTCTCTTTTGGATTTGAAAAGAAATGGCAGAGCAGGAGGGAGGGGGGAGGGGGGATATGGGGTTGGGTGTGGGCGGGGAGGGGTTTAGGGGGGATTAGGGCTGTGGGAATTAAATAAATTATGAGGAATATAATGATTATTTAATGAAGAAAATGTTTGTTAATTATATTTGATTGAAATTCAATAAATATTTATAAAAAAAAAAAACAGGGACACTGACTGGTGACAGTATGAAAAAATATATATATATATATTTTTTTAATTTTTTTATTATATTTAATTTTTTATTACATTTTTTTTTTTTTTTTTTTTCATATTTTACTATGACCAAAGTAGTACAATGTTACCATAGTAACACTGTACTACTTTGGGGAAGTGATCAGTATTTTTTTTTTTTTTTTTTTTTTTTTACACAATTTGCTTATAGCAAAGAATTACTTTGTTATAAGCAAGCATTTACCTGAATGAAATCGATTCATTCAGCTTTTTTTTTTTTTTTTTGTGCTTAGCTGTGATTTGGTCACAGCTAATCACATGACATGTGCATGTGATTAGCTGTGACCATTCACAGCTAGGCACTAGTATAAAATGGATGGCATCATGAATGAAGCCATCCATTGTATACAACTGTCATGTGACCTGCTGTGATTGGTCACAGCAGGTCACATGGTACCAGCAACGGGAGACGGTACTCGGATCTGTCATCGGCCGTGTCCGAGGTGCACGGCCCGTGACAGATCCCGCTGCTGCGCCGCTCTGCATTACTGCAAACGGCGCATGTGCGGGAGCACGCCAAATGGCGTGCACCCGGAATGAAGAGGCACATCTGAAGCCGCCAAACGGCCATTGGCCGGGCGGCTAATGATTAATGAAGAACTTGTCAAAGGTTGTCTGTCATTTTTTACACTACACTTTTTTTTTTGGAAATGAGTAGTGGTACCATGAACCCCATACTCATTCACATGGGGGGGCGGGATCTGGGAGCCCCCTTCTTAAAGGGGGCTTCCAGATTTCGATAATCCCCCCGCCCACAGACCCCCATAACCACAAGCCACGGTTGTGGGCAAGAGGCCCTTGTCCTCATGTTGATCCTCATGGACCCCCACGTTTTTGTTTTTTTCATTTTCTTAATTGTTTGGCAATGCCGGCAATTCCTTTTACATTCAGCTGCCAGCAGGGAATCCTACTGACAACTGAAACATTAAAGAATGTTTTTAGTAGCTGTGCGGTATCTTACCACATACTTAGATGTGTTAAGATGCCGCATAGTGAATTGTTCCCTCTGTTAGAAGTTTGCAGTCGAACTTTCGTTAGGTACAAAAGTTCGACCGTAAACCGAACAGGGGGTGTTCAGCCCATGACTACTTACAACGGCTTTAATGCATAATTATACATAACACTGTGATATTAAGAGAAAACAGTAGAGAGAAGCAGATCCATAGAGAGCCTTAAATCTTATATAATTCCTTACAACCAGGAATTTTCCACTGCTCTTATAGAATAGATTGCAGTCTCTTGTCATATGAATCTGTTCTATGTAACATTCATTTGATGCCACAGAAATGGGGAGATTGGACTGCAGTGGATGCATTTAGTGCAATGCCCAAACCATGAAACCCACAGGCTTGTGGTCCATGAGCAGATAATGATTCTGGCAACTCCAGGAATTTTTCTAGTGGGTCAACCAAATGCACAATATAAACAGCAAAAGATTACTGCCAATGAGATGACCAGCAGCATTGCCTCAGTAAGGTTCAATGCAAAATTACGTATGTAAAATTCATCTAATTCTGCTAGTCTGTCTAACACTAACCTCCCCACAGTCTGACAATGCTACTGTGCAAAGGTTGATACATTGCTTCTAATTAGATACAGTGGAAGAGTGAGCATAGCCACCCTAAGTGTAAAACTGTGTGGATCGCCAGGTGAAAATAAAGAAAAAAAAGGAAAACTAACATAGCTGCATTATATAAAATTTTTATTCATGGGTCTTCATACACTTTAACCACCTCCCGCCTGCCATATAGTCCAATGATGGGCGCAAGTTGGTTCTCTCATTCTGATAGGCCGTCTTTTGACGGCCTTCCATTCTCACCACGCATGCGCGACTCAGGGAGTGCACAGCATGGCGATCGGCAGTACTCTGTGTCCCTTGGACACAGAGGATCACCAATCCACGGAAAGAGCCGAAGATGTCGGCTCGGTCATGTGATCAGCTGTTTCCAATCACAGCTGATCACATGTAAACAGGGAAATGCCGGTTATCGGCATTTCTCTCCTCTCCAGCTGTCACGTTGACAGCTCGAGAGGAGAGCCGGTAATCGGCATTCCGCAGAGGGGACATGTACACCGATCATCAGGGCACTGATGATCGGTGTGCCCTGATGATCCGTGTGGCCCCAGAAGTGCCACCTGTCAGTGTCCATCAGTGCCACGTGCCAGTGCCCATCAGTGCCACGTGCCAGTGCCCATCAGTGCCACATCAATGCCACATATCAGTGCCTACCAGTGCACATCAATGCCACATATCAGTGCCCATCTGAGCTGCCCTTCAGTGTCACCCATCAGTGCCAGTCAGTGCCACCTATCAGTGCCAGTCAGTGCCGCCTATCAGTGCCAGTCAGTGCCACCTATCAGTGCCAGTCAGTGCCACCTATCAGTGCCATATATCAATGCTGCCTTTCAGTGCCCATCAGTGATGCCTGTCAATGCCCATCAGTGCCACCTACCAGTGCCTCCTCAGCAGTGCCACCTATCAGTGTATCTTATCAGTGCCCATCACTACAGCCTCATTAGCGCACATCAGTGAAGGAGAAAAAGGAATCACTCATTTACAAAATTTTATAACAAACACTAAGAAATTTTTTTTCAAAATTTTCAGTGGTTTTAGGTTTGTTTAAGAAAAAATAAAAAACTCAGAGGTGATTAAATACCACCAAAATCAAGCTCTATCTGTCACAAAAAAATTATAAAAATTTCATATGGGTACAGTGTTGCATGACCGCATAATTGTCATTCAAAGTGTGACAGCGCTGAGAGCTGGAAATTGGCCTGGGCAGGAAGGGGGTATAAGTGCCCTGTAGGCAAGTGGTTAAAGTTTATTTGAAGTTTACATTTTAAATGAACAGTTGACTTAAGTGTATCCATAGCCAAACTTGTGAGTAACAGCAGAGCCCCTAAAAGAATCTGAACAATATAAGCAGATTGTACCAGATAATTTGAGAACAGCAGGATCCAACACACAATGACCATTTTGTGGTCAGGGGACCAGTTTTCTTACTATACAATGGTCATTGGGAGTATATTTGGTACTAGGAAAACTAATAAAGCCCAAGTGAGCTTTTAGTTTAGGCCAGCTAAATACATTGCAGGTGTATAAAAAAGTAGACCCAAAAGTAATTTTTTTAACTACTTTTTTCTGTGGAGGTCAACAACAACTTCTGTTGCTGTATAACTGCTGTTCCCCAATTTTTCTTTTTTTGTTTTCGTTTTGGATGTAGATTTTTTTTTATTTCACATTTATTCTGTTCCTTTTTTAGTTTTCTAAAATACAGCAAAAAATATATAAAAAAAGCAGTGTTTTAGGTTGGTGTTTGGGGTTTTCTCTATAAAATATTGTCAAGGATTTTTAAATTATTTTTGTTTTCGGAGTGAGCAGCAGCATAAACCTGTTGACATAGGCAAAGCTGCCCTTTGTTAGCAGCATAGCACTGCATACCATTGTCCAGTCCAGTTTACTATACAAAAGCACTACATTGTAAAGTGCGGCAAAGCACTACATCCCCATCCACTTATTGCCATAGCTGGTAATAAAATGAGGGAATCCTCTATTACCATCATGTCTAGGAGGCCTAAAGGGAGAAGTGGAGATTGTTCATGTGCAGCTATTAGAGGGTGAGCAGGATGTGCATATACAGGCTAAAGAGATCGTCCGGTTACAGCATTGAGAGGCAAGGCACGTCTGCCTTTCTTTTCTGGCAGTGGCTGAGCTATACAGCCAGAAAATTCGAAGGAGGTAAGCAAGCCTTCATCAATCCTCATCCTTCTCCCAGATGCAGATTAGTGCAATGTCATCTGCACTGGCAAATGATTCTCCTCTTTCCTCCCGCTAATCCTGCTGTTGCCCCGCAAACTGGCATGGAGGAGTTGGCTGAGTTTTTTCAGCACAGCTTTGGTCACTTAGGCAAAGAGCATGCATAGCAATTGATTTCATCTGCATTCGTAACAGAGAGCACTAGGAGAAGAAGAAAGGATAACAGGCAGAGAGAGACAGTTTCCAGTGATGTTTCTGCAGCTGCAGCTTACTGCCAAGTTGGCTCAAGCAATAAGGAGGGTGGGATGATAATGAGATCTCAGACCGTATCTGGGTGCCAGAGATATTAGGGGAGGAAACGGGGGGAGAGTCACAACATTTTTTTTAATACTCTTTATAAAACATTATTTTTCTTTTTTTTTTACAACACAATTACACATAAGACACTTTACAACCACCAACAATTACAGTTACAGTTTTGGTTGTCTCCAGCTATCATAATAATTACCATACACGCCTAGTACTTTATAAACAGAATATATATACTCAAAACAAAACAAAATCATATATAATAACTCACTATATATAAACATTACCAAATTAAAAAAGAAGAAAAAAGCGCCACTTACAAAAAACACCAAAGTGTCAGCAGCATATCCCACCCAAAATAAATTTTGGCAACAATAATCCAAATTAAAAGGTATGTGCTAATAACAAACTTATACAAAAGTGTATGTCATCATCCAAAAAACATTAGTGTTTTAAATAAATTAGAGTGTCCAAACATAAATTAGTGTCCAAAAAAAATATATATATCTTCAGTGACTTGAACCAATTGTGAGAAATCCACCACCAAAGGAGATTAAATGAACTCACCAGAGCTAATGGCTGGTCAGATTATAAACCAGCAACAGCGCTTGTGCTCTGGGAGCAATGAACCCGATGTCCAAATAGATATGGTGATGTTTCAGATACTTCCAGATAATAATCACAGCCAAACAACTTTGCAGCCCAAGCTCTTATGATGAACTTCTCCACTCTGTCTCATACCTCCATGAGAGCATACAGTACCCTCAGGGACAAAAAAAGAGAACATAATGGTGCAATACGTTTTTTTCATTTATCTCTTTAATAAAAAAGGTATAAGGAAACTCACAAACAAGGTGTCCAACAGACACCAGCTTCAATCGCAAAAAAGGGTTGAGATACAGTTAACGCTCACCGCAGATCTCTCCCATACAGCACAAACCAGCAAGGCTCTCTAACATCCACATCAAATAGGCTACGCCCAACCGGTTTCGTCACACCGAGGTCATCAAGGGGCGGTACAGATGGGAACGTCAGACAGCTCTTATAAATACCACCCTTCATCTACATAGTTTTAACACCCAGCCAATCACTGCGTTCCTAGTCTCCTTAATCACGCCGGCTAGAACAGGTGTTTCCCAATTTAATTATACATATACTCTATTATATAAACAAAAAAGCTAAATATATATACCCTGCAGGTTTGAATCAGCACAATACCGTTCTCCTTTAAAATCACCCACAAAAAAATATAAATATAAAAACATAAATATATGCAGAAAAGCAATATAAACCTAAATTTATTTATAAGAAAAATCGATCTATAAGGACGAAATTAGTGCATAATGTTTTAGATCCACCAAAAGAGGTGGATTTTTTTCCCGATTTGAAGGGATTTGTTCATTGTAACAGGTGTAAAGCATGTAGAACGATAAATAGATCGAATAAAATAAAGAGGAAGAAATTTATTTCAAATATAACTAAGAAAGAATATAAGATCGAACAACTTATTTCGTGTAATTCCTCTCATGTGATTTATGTTTTGGAATGCCCGTGTCATTTTCAGTACGTTGGAAGAACAGGGAGACAGTTGAAGACTAGGATAAATGAACATTTGAACAATATAAAGAGAGGGTTTGACAAACATAGTGTTTCAAGACATTTTAAATTAAGACACAATAGTGATCCGAGTTTAGCGACATTTTATGGAATTGAGAGAGTAAAAAGTCATTGGAGGGGTTCAGATCTGATTAAAGAAATATCAAAAAAGGAGACTTTTTGGATATATGAATTGGAGTCTTTAGTACCAAGAGGTTTAAACATAGATGTTGATTTAAATTGTTTTTTGACTAATTTTTAAGATAAAATATTTTAAAATATTGATTACATGTAGTGATCGTTATATATAGTTTATTTTAATTTGGTTTATATTTTTATAAAAGAAAAAAAAATGTATTTTTTAATTTTTTTGTGTATGAGAAGAGTTGTGCTTTAAGTTCTGTGCATGGCCCTTTAAGGGTTTTTCTGTGGTTTGAAGAGCCATGCACAGGATGGTATATATTGCTTTTCTGCATATATTTATGTTTTTATATTTATATTTTTTTGTGGGTGATTTTGAAGGAGAACGGTATTGTGCTGATTCAAACCTGCAGGGTATATATATTTAGCTTTTTTGTTTTTATATAATAGAGTATATGTATAATTAAATTGGGAAACACCTGTTCTAGCCGGCGTGATTAAGGAGACTAGGAACGCAGTGATTGGCTGGGTGTTAAAACTATGTAGATGAAGGGTGGTATTTATAAGAGCTGTCTGACGTTCCCATCTGTACCGCCCCTTGATGACGTCGGTGTGATGAAACCGGTTGGGCGTAGCCTATTTGATGTGGATGTTAGAGAGCCTTGCTGGTTTGTGCTGTATGGGAGAGATCTGCGGTGAGCGTTAACTGTATCTCAACCCTTTTTTGCGATTGAAGCTGGTGTCTGTTGGACACCTTGTTTGTGAGTTTCCTTATACCTTTTTTATTAAAGAGATAAATGAAAAAAACGTATTGCACCATTATGTTCTCTTTTTTGTCCCTGAGTGTACTGCATGCTCTCATGGAGGTATGAGACAGAGTGGAGAAGTTCATCATAAGAGCTTGGGCTGCAAAGTTGTTTGGCTGTGATTATTATCTGGAAGTATCTGAAACATCACCATATCTATTTGGACATCGGGTTCATTGCTCCCAGAGCACAAGCGCTGTTGCTGGTTTATAATCTGACCAGCCATTAGCTCTGGTGAGTTCATTTAATCTCCTTTGGTGGTGGATTTCTCACAATTGGTTCAAGTCACTGAAGATATATATATTTTTTTGGATACTAATTTATGTTTGGACACTCTAATTTATTTAAAACACTAATGTTTTTTGGATGATGACATACACTTTTGTATAAGTTTGTTTTCCCTCAATATTCTAATTATACTATTGATATCTCTGTATGTGATCAATACCATTTCCCCTATAACCTTATTAATATTTTAGACCTAAATGTCTAGTATCTCTATTTAACCCAATCAGCATTGATAGGGTATTATTAGGGCGAGCTGTAAGGAATTGATATAGCATTTTGACACGTTATAAATGTATCCCCTATGGTAAATTTCTTTAAGACACACAATAAATAGGGCCATTCCACACTGTTGAATGCCTTAGTGGTATCTAAGGATAATATAGCTCTAGTACTTGCTAGCATTGCGAGGTGGAGTTTTAATATAAACATGTAACCTATGGATGTTCACAGCAGTCAACCTCTCAGAAATAAATC